AGCCCCGCCGGCAGCCCGCACCCAGAGGAAGGAGAGCGGCCCGCGGCGCTCGCACTCGGCCTGCTTGACCTTTCGCACCACCCTCTCGGCCAGCGCGGGGTTGCGGTCGAGGCTGCGGAAGAGGCGGCGCAGCGCGCGCTCCGTGTAAGTCGCCGCCTGCCTCTCGAAGTCCTCCTCGGATATGAGCTGGCAGAAGGTGACACTCTGCGGGAACTCCTTGTCGAACTCGTCCAGGACCTCCATCCGGGGGCGGCTGGGGGCTGGCCCCCGGCTGCCTGCGGCCGTCGGGGCGGGCTCACCGAGGGTCCAGGCACGCCGACCCCACCCGCTGCAGGCAGGGGCAGAGGGGCCGCTCCCAAGGCCCGAGCTCAGGTCACCCGGGGCGGCGGGGCCCCTCAGAACGCGCCCGCGGCGGTCCCTACAATCGCAGCGCCGCGGCCCCCACCGCTCCAGCCAATCCCATCGAAGATCGCGGGCGGCCCAATCCGCGCGAGAGGGCCGCACGTGACAATGCGCGCAGCTCTGGGCATGCGCTCTCGCACCTTCGACGGTGGGAACGCCGCCGTGCGGGGCTCGACCCCAATCCCGATGGGGTGCAGCCGGGCTTTGATCGGGGCCCACCTACGGCCACACTAAGAACCTAGTAAGCGCAGGAACTTTCCAGCTTCTTTAAGGCCCACATCCCTGGGCTGGTCTCCATCCCCTCCCTGTCTCAGCTGCTCCCCCTCCTCATGGTCTGTAGCCTCCCAGTCCTCCAGTGGGAGCAAGTGCCAGGGGACTTCATGCTGCCCCTACTCCATTTGCCCCGGGACTTCTCACCCTCTTCCTCGTCCTCTCCAGCATCAAACCCACCCTTCTCCAGCTTGCCCTCTCTCCCCCGATATAGTAGGCAGTTGGACATATGAGCAGAGTAGGAAGGCCAGGTACGTAAAGTCACCAGGGTGCCTAGAAAAGAGGTAGTTGTAGGGTGGGACCTCACTCCCAGGGTGACCTTTCCTCTCCTAGCATATCCCTGGTCATGCCCGTGGTTACACAGTTTGGACTCTCCCCTGACCTTTCCTCCCCTGGCATTCCCTACTCATGTGGTAGACTCCCGTAGAGGAACAAGGGACTGAAAAGTAGCCTCATATGACTCCCATACAAGCCTTCGCACAGCCATTCCCTTAAGCATTAAGCCCTCAAGACAATGAGGTTCTGACCGGAATCTAATAATCTTAGGCACAAAGCCTCTGGTCTGTTGATGACAGTCTTGGTCAAACTAGAGATAAAATCTAGGCCTCAGTTGTGTTTCAGCTCCAGGCCCAGAAAAGCAGCAAAACCAAACACCATGGCTGAGGACTGGCTTTGATGACTAATGATCCCCTGGTGGGGGCTGACCAATCAATGGAGACCAGGACCCTGAGGAGACACTTCTGGAAAGCTGAGGAATATTCTATTAAGATCCTCCCCTGAGACCTCCAAGTAAAAGCTCTTAAAATGAAGGACCCAGAGTGCTCAAGCTTTCTCTCGAGTACACCCTTGCCGTTCCCCCTCTCCTTCCCCAGGTGTGTTTTCTTAGCCTTTCTTTCTCCGAAGCTGCAAGGGTCTTTCTTTTGCCTCTGTAACTTGTTTCCTGAGTCCATACGGCCCAGCTGGCTCACTTCTTCCATGGCTTATTTCTTCCATAGCTCATTTCTTCTACCCCTGTGACTTTTAAATAAACTTTCACTTGTATTTGAGTCTTGGCTCTGAATTCCTTTTTAGCCAAACTCAAGGACCGAGGTCTAATATCTGGTACTGTTTCACAATTAACACCCCTTTACAGCCACTTCTTTGCTGTATACTCCCTGTTGTGTCTTCTACAGCATCTCCAGCTGCAACTTGCCTGTTTCAGAAGGTACTGTCTCCACCATACCATTTGGACCATCTTACTCACTTCTTGGTCCCAACCCAGAACTGCCTTAACAACCCTAACCTGCCTCTCAAACTCAGACCTCCCTTGGGTTCCAGACCCACATCCAGTGTCTGCTGGGGACATTTCTTGGGCATCTCACACTGAACACATCCAGATTGGCACACAGCTTTTTCTCCCCTCTCCTACTTGGTCAGTGGCTGATACCACCATTCACCCCAGCCACTGAGGGGCATGCAACCCTAGACTGTTTCCTCCCTGTCTCCTCCACACACCTTTCCCCAACCCTCTAAATCAGCCCTGAGTTCCATGGAGTGCACCTAAAAAGTTTAATGAGATTTTTCACCCCCTACCACCAAACCACCAGCCCTCTAGGCCTCAGCTCTCCCCATCATAGGAATTGGCATTCACTTCCTCCTGCTTTGAAGACACCCAAGGAGGAAGATCTGGCCTGTGTATTTGTCTAGGGTTGCAGGCAGATACACCTAGGTTCAAATATCCATTCTGCTTCCTGACCCGTGACTTACAAAACGAGACTTTAAAATCTATAGTATGTGCCTTTTCAAAAACAGGACAAGCATTCTCTGAGGGGTCAAAAAGATCGTTGATTAACCCTCCAATCATGTTATGCTAATATTACTTCATATTTATACATTTATTTGTATTTTTTAAAAGTGTAATAGGTCCCTCTCTATGCCAGGCACTGCCAAGAGATTAAAAAAAGACATGGTCCTTGCCCTCAGGGGTTCCCAATCTAATGACTTTGGCCACAGGGAGAACATTTCAATCTAACAGGTTCTGCTGGAGGGACAGTGGATGCTCTTGAACCCAGATAAGGCTTCCCCTAAAAGGGAACATTTAAACAGACCCCTGAGTCCACAAGCCTCACCAAGCAAGGGCTCCAGCCAGTGGGTGCAGAATCTGCACAGGAGTAAGGGTGGCCACCTCCAGTCATGGCACCTGGAGCCAAGGGAGAGGGTGGACAGGCCTGAGTCAGGTGGCCTTGGGATGAGGAACCCCAAGAGATGAGGCATAGGAGGCGAACCCCAAGAGATGAGGCATAGGAGGCAGGAGAGCATATGTCATTGCCCCTCATCCATCCCATGGACACCAGGACTTCTACCCCCAGGATGGGGGTGAAACTGGTACCCCAATGTGCTCAGCCATGGTTGAGAGGTACTCCCAAATGCCCATCTAGAACCTGGGCTTCCTCTCAAGGAGAAAGGCTTGAATAACTGTCATAGGGCACATAACTGTCATTGTGCATTGTGTCAGGTCTTGATGGTGGAGATGGCCCTGCCAGCATGCCTATGGCCAGGCACCTTGGCAGTTCAGCTCCAATCCCCCCAATTCCAGCTGTGAGGGTGGGCATGCCAGGCACCTCACAGTCCCTCCTGCAGGTTCAGGGCAGCATATCTCCCTGTAAGAAAATAAGAGGGTGCAGTTGGTGGGCATCACCTTCGGGCTTCATATCCCAAGGATACCTGCCCACCCCAAATAGCGCTGCTCCTGCTGAGAACCCAGGACATTGTTCCAGAGTCTGATCCTCCCCAAGCCTTCAAGAAGGGCTTGGTCCAGTTCACCTCCACGGGGTCAAGGGTAAGCTGAGTCTGAGCCAGGCCCAGACAGACCCTCCATGCAAAGCAGTGGGCCTCTATTTTTTCTACAAGACCAGGACCAAACCCTGAGTTCCCAATCTTACCCAGGGTGCTGGTATGAAAGATCCTCTTCAAACCAGAGCTTTTCTCAATCCAGGGCCTCTGATTCTGCACCTGTCCAGTGGTGACCCAGATGGAGAGCTTAAGGGCAATCCCCCAGCTCTGCACTCACCTAATCCTCTGATGGAGGGTCCAGCCCAGCTCTGAACCAGTATCTAACTGCTGGGAAGTGGGCTGAGGCAGCAAAACTCCCTCTCCCCAGGTGCTGTGTGTAGTGGGCTGGACCTGACTGATGCCCTTTCATCATTGCACTGCTTCCCAGCGGCCCACAGTAGTGCAACAGGGAAAGAGTGTCAGGCAGGCCTGCCAGTGCCTGCCTCGCCTCTCCCGGTGGTCTGTCGGTGGGGAATCTCTCAGGCTAGGAATGCAGGCCCACTGGGGCGGGGCCTCTGCCTGGGGGAAGGGTGCCCTCTGACCCCAGAGGCCCAGGCCTGGCCAGGATCTCAAGTTTCCATGGAGAAGGGAGCCAGCAGGGCAGGGGGGAGGGGAGACCTGCAGGCCGAAGGGGCCCTGCCTGGGGAGGAGAAGGTGTGGGGGAGGGGGGTCCCCAAGGTTGGTCCCAGATGCCATGACAATATCATTGCACTGCTTCTCAGAGCACAGTAGTGCAACCTCGTCAGAGCACCTGCGGCCAGCAGGAGGGACCCCCTCCCCGAATACCCGTAGTGTGGGAAGCTCAATCGTGGGTGGTGGGGCTAAAGGCCCCGTCCTGGACATCAGGGCCAGGAGGGGGGATTTCAGCGGGGCTGGAGTCCTCTGGATCCTCAGGATCCCAGGGCACCCGGATCTTATTCAGCCCGCTCCAGATAGCGGTGGACGAGAGATCCTCAAACTAAGGGGTAGCTCCAAACCCGAAGCGGGATCGGACGGGGGAGGGGGCACACACACAAAGGAGAGGGGCCCATCCTCCACCGCAGTCCGAAGCCCACTGACGCCCGAAGCTAGGGTGGGTACAGCCCGACGACCCTGCGCGCTCACCAGCCAGCGGCTCCGGGATAAGAGCGGCCCCACTTAGGGACGACGCGACCCTGCCAGCTCAGGCCCCCATACCCGGCCCCTGGCCCCCCAACTTGGGCTCTGCGTTCTGTCCCAACAGATTCGCTGCCCCAAGGCCCAGAGCGGCGCAGAGGAATGGGGGTGGGGATGGGGTTCCCGCCCTTCTGGAGTTCCCTGCCTGGAGAGAGCGCCCGGGGTTCGGGCTGCGCCCCTCCACACAGTTCCGCCGGGTAGGGCCGACCTGCCCGCTCCCCTCGCTTGGGACCCTGCTACTCACGCGGCGGGTCACCCCTTCCGCCCCTGGCCTGGGCATGACTCGGAAGGTTAGCGGGAGAGAGGTCCCGGCAGCCGCGCGTGCCAGTGGTCTCCACCAGGAGGACCCCGCAACCTCGTGGCGCCCTCTCGCCCGCCGGCTCCATCTTTATCCCGCTGACAGTCGGCGGGGCCGGGCCCCCAGCTCCTCAGCTTAACGCCGCGCTCATTGGTCGGCGCCGGCGCGGGGCTTCGCCTCCCGCACTCCTATTGGCTGATACCGGAGCGATTTCAAAATAGCCTCCGGGCCGGGATTGGCGGTGCCGCGGCCGAGTCTTCGGCTCTGAGGTTTTAACAATGAGTTCTACAAACACTTTCTCCCCATTCATAACTTATCAAAAGGAACTTTGCCCGCCTTTTCTCAGTTGCAGTGTTGGGGCACTTTCTACCCGCGAGGACTAGAACACTTGGAAGTCAGTGGGGGGCGCCGGCCGCGCGGCTGAGCCCACGGAGGAGGGGGCTGCGACCCTTCGAAAATGCCCGCGGTGGAGCAGAGCTACGGGTCTGCTTCGTTTTGCTTGCTGATAGCGCTCCCTGTACCTCGCAGACGGTATATTCGACTGCGGCGGTCTTTCTGGCCGGGATAGCTCCCACCCCACTCTCCTATCACCCCCTCGCATCGTCCGGCTTGACCCGAGTGGAATTTGCCAGAAGCCACTCGGGTAGGCCTGGGCTGCGGAGACCAGGTCCTGGAACCCGTGGAACCTTGTGGATCTGTGGGAGGTACGGGGTGTCAGCTTGGGTCCCGGCGTGGTTGCGATCACGCATTGTATAAGCAATTGGATCACTTTGTGGATAAGCATTCATAAGTGCGGCCCCTGGCCCACTGGCCCTCGCATAGCTGTAGAGTGTGTGTGGGGGGCGGAAGCAGAGTGCTTAGGTCTCCTCCTGTTTTATTTTCTCAATCCAATGGCTGAGAGCAAATGTTTTAGAGGCAGGCAGAACTACGTTTGAATTTTTACGAACCTCGGTTGCCTCCTCTGCAAAATAAAGACAATAACTGAACTTGCTGTATAGGGTTACCGCCAGGAGCAAACGAGATGCTGTGTCAATCGTTGGCCTGGTGTCTGGCGCTTAGTGTTCAATAAATGAGAGCTCTGCTGCTGCTGCTGTGGTTTTAATTTTTGGTCTTGTCCTCAATTCTGCCCGGAGCCATCTTACCTGCTCCCACCTTGGTTTCCCACAGATTTCTACATGTGTGCACTGTTTGATTCTGTTCTTAACACTCTGCACTTATGTCTGTGGGGACTCTTATGGCCAGGAGGGGCCACGGATGGACCAGAGTGCCCAGTTGGATGGGCAGAGTGTGGCCCACACTACTGGTGTCCCGCCCACAGCCCCAGGGCAATCCACACCACAGAAAGAAAGCCCCCTGCCAGACTCTTCCTCCGGGGTTTATTCTGGCTGTAGAATAAAGCCCTCAGGCACACTTCTCAATGTCCAGGGCAAGTGGGAAGTGTTGCAGAATAATTCCCCCACCCACCTAGCGGCCCTCAGCCAATGAGGGCAAATACTTTGGTTGGATAACTTTGATGTTTTTCCTACACTGGGTCCCAGAACTCCCCATGGAATTAAGCTCCAGTTGCCCACAAGGGTAATTTGCTCAACAGTGCAACCTTCACCGGCTGCCTCTCCTCCTTCTCTCACAGCCCCACTGTGAGGATCACCCCAGAAACGCTTGGACTGCCATCCTGTCTCAGGTCAGGTGAGTGATGGGAGAGGAATGTAGACTTGCAGACTGCTCAAGAAGTTTGAGCAGAGCAGGAGTGCAGTGGGGAGAGGGTGGGGAGTAATGGGCTTACATAGGACCCTCCTCCCCTCAGGCCTCAAAATTGGCTACAGCTTCTCCCACCCCTATAAGGCCAATTGATTTCTCAAATATAAAGTGCTCTGCCCACACTCCTCCAAGCCCCCTCCCAACCAGTTGCTACCCCCAGCCTCTCCTGGGACTCTTTTACACATTCAGGAAAATGGCGCCCTCTTCCCCAGCAGCAGCCTTAAGCCCCTACCCTCCCACACAGCCCCACCTGGGTGGAGTTTAGCCACGTCCAGGAAGCCTGTAATCTCTGCCGCAACCTCTAGAGGTCACCCACAAGCCAGCAGAGCTGTTACCTGCATTAGCGCCCTCCTATTTATTGTTCCTGCCTTTAAGTTGTAATGCTTCACCCGACTAAATTGTGCCTCTTCTTCCAGGAAGTCTTCTCAGATCTATGCAGGTAGCAGTTCCTTGAAGTTCTCTTTCCACGCGATATATTTTGAAGTTTTCTTATCTCCTCAGGACCTTGGAAGGTCGTAGTTAGGGTCCGAGATTCCACAGGCTGGGGTGCATGGGGTGCCATTTACACCAAAAATGAGGGAGCCTGTGATGCTAATATCCAGCAGATGGGGCAGAGTCCTTGCTTAAAAACAAATGTCACGGCTTTCACAACTGCTAGGGGAGAGGTGCCAGGAGAATAGGGGGGCCTCACCTCAAGGGGTAAAGGGTCTGGAAAGCTTGTACCTCATCCCTGCTGAAAAGAGTAGGGCTCCCACTCATCCTGCTGAGGCCCTGGATCCAGCTCTTAACAGGAAGGTTCATGATGCTCAGGGGTTGGAGAACAAGGGTCACTTGCCATCAGATAGTCTAAGGTTGACAGGGCAGTGTTGGAATGCATGGAAAAGCACCAAAAGGGTTTGGACAGGTTCAATTGTTCGACTGTGCGGGAAACAGCAGTTTTGCACTGAGGAAGAGATGGGGAACTAGGCCAGGGAGAGCTGGGACCTCCTGGTCACCCCCAGGCTCACTCCAAAACTATCACAGACCAACATTCTTTAATTAACAAAGGCACTTAAGAACCCCTACAAACCCAAAGTCTTCACCAAGAGTGGCCCTGCAGATGCCCTCACACTGCCACCCTCCCATCCACCCATCCACGGCACTCAGAGTTCATCATGACCTGCAGAGGGATCCACACTGGGCTTGATGAAGATGCCTTCCATGGCCTTCCATGTATTGTGTGTGTTGGCGCTGGGCATGCCGTGCACCTCATGCTGCCCACGGATGGGGCTCCCATATTGCTCGCCAGTGACAGACAGGAACACAGAGGTGCCCACATGCTGGAAGCGCACGGTGGCCTCCCGCTCCCAGTGCTGCCCTGAGCAGCGCACCATCCACAGGTCAAGGTCGTCACCCTCACCGTCTTCCCCAAAGGCGCTCACCTCCTATGGGTTGGGG